GTTTTCTCATTGTTGGACAGCAACTTGCAACATAGGCAAAGAAAATGGGGAAAGATTTGAATCTTTATATCCTCAAATCAGAACCTCATGCCAAATCCTTATCATTCCCTTCTGGATTCAAAATATCCCTATTCATTGGGAATTTGTCTTGAATCTAAAGGCAACTCCTTCGTTTGATGGATGACTCACAGCTCAAGTCAAACTGCAAGTCAGATCGTGCCTATGCACTTCATTTTCAAGACTTTAGAATTTTAAGGAAGTATATTGAAACCTGGTCACATTTCTTTACCCCCATGGATGTGAATGTTACCTGGCTCCCATAGAAAATGAGAGGAACATGTTTTTAAAACACTACAGGGTTGTTCAAAAGTTCCAGTACACTTTGAAAAATCTAATTTTTTCACTAATCAACGGATTTTTGGCGATTCTGATGTGTATTTTTTTTAATTCTACGGACATATTTGATACGAAATGTTTTCTTTATAGTAAATTTCAGTCTTCAATTGAATTTTTTCTCTGGAGCTATGACGCCTAAAGAGAATCGAAGCGCTAATCAAAGTGTACGGGAACTTTTGCACGACCCTGTATATATACATTGGAAGGAAGAGTACAACATAAAGAGCTTACAGATGATACCGAAGTGCCAGAAGAAGAGAATAAATTTATCCCAGAAGTCGAGTTCCAGGATGGTCCAATCACTACCATTTTCGTTTTCGTCCCCGACATTCTTTATCCTTATATATTTGGCGGAGACGCTGTAGTAGCTGTATGTTGCCTACGCCACACCGAGTAAGGATGTCACTATAGAAAGCCACTTGGCGGCAACTACAAACCAAAAGGGAAAAATAAGTACTTTGACTCTACCACAAAGCCTGTTACAGTCTTAATAGGTAACCAGATTCTTGTTTGCGATATCATATCAAGTGTAAGTGGTTTTCAATAATGAAAATTTTGATATATTTCCTGCACTGATGAAATCAGCTCATCACCTCATATCATGCCACAGCAGAATTTGTGAACGTGCTTCATCTTGGAGCTCATTTTAGAAATCCCTTGACAGCACATTGAAGAAACTACATTAAAATCTGCCACTTCCTTAATCCCCACGGATAATTGATAAAGAATCAGCTCACATGTGAGGGGATTTCCAGCAAAGGTAGCCCCATCATGGACAATGATGTAAAACTGGAGGACCATCTGAGGGCTTGATTCCATGTACGCCTCCACCAGACGGAGAAGGGAGGCCATTTATTTCTGAACATCAATGTTTTTTTAATAAGTATACCCCCATGTTGTCCTGCATCCCGAGCACCAATACTGGCACATGTCTTGCAATGCATAGGAATACCTCTTAAAGATCAACGTACAAATCCAATGTCTTAATCGAATGTTGGTTAAGTGAACTTTTTCAAGTGCATTCCAGTAGATAGACTGAGTTTTCATTTCTTCCTTCGTCGCGTCTCCTGGAATCAAGTGAGTCAATTTTACAATATCATTTACATTCTTTCTGATCAATGGGTATCAGCTGATGCAATTCACCCAGAAATGTGCCCCCAAGGGATGTCGCACCTTTTAGCACCTCCGTTCCATCAGATAATTATTTCCCTCGGGGTTCCCCTTCTGGTTGGAATTTTGGATTTTTGTTCGCTGGATCCGTGGCGGAGCGGGATAATATTAATGATCGTGTTAAAGAGGAAATATCATACCTGTATTGGGAGATTCAGTACCATCAACAACTCGGCACCGTCTTCCATTGCGTAATATAGACGTAGAGGCAAATTTCCGGAGCAGGGAATTTGAAACTACTAATTCGAAATGTTTCACCATGTGCGACAGCATTGGACGGTTCGGACGAAAAGTCACATTGCGCGAGAATGTTGCGCATGTCTGAAAGGAATCTCACAACCAGTATTCCCGCATGGACGAGTATTTGTTGCCTAATCTAATGATAGGCTAGGTCGATGTGAAGTTAATGTTCCTGGAACGCTTAATGACAATATTCATGTGATTCGAACGTGCTTTGATTTTCGTCGGTGTCGGAGATGAGAACTCACTAGCAGATTCGCGGCAATAATGTTGGAATTCACCCGTCATGGAATGGTATGTCCGATTGAAAATTATCACTACATGGTTTTAAAAAAAAACCCTGCCAATTCCTTTTATTTTAGGAATGATAGTATATTTTTATCCGGTGAGCCCCATATTTCACAAACTCATGGGATACGGCACAATACCGGAAGAACGTGTAATAGTGGGCAATAAAGATAGCATATATGTGATGACAGATCTATTCCCTGCCATAAATGAGATATTGATTCAGAACAAGGATACGATCGGGGAATGGAGACGGAAAAAATGAGAATACAGGCGGAAAATACGCGATATGGGCCTGGATAGGGTGCTCTTCATTCATGCCTGGCATTCCGATGACAAGATGGAATCTTTGAATACTGAAAAAAAAATTCCATTCTGGCAAAATGTTTTTCCACATCTCCCATATAGTCAGATCTCGATCAACTAACGGTAAAAACGCATTGCATCCAATTGGGATGAAGCTGTTCGGCAAGGCTGAAATTGCTTGTACATGGTTGAACATGTAGCTGAAAATTTTTTTTTAAGATTCCACTTCGACCAGACTCATCCACGACGCCCTAAAAGACATTAACAAGCGTATCATAAGAGTACTAGCGGCATGTGGCCGCAATTCCAAGCCTACATACCTACGGACCTATACTTTTTTTGTTACGGATCATCTACTAAGAATAGTCTTAACCAGAATCCTGTGCCAAAATTCCATCTCCAGTTCATTATGGAACCTCTATGCATGAAACTGATGCTGAGGCACAGCGTGCTTCATCTGCCAGTATGCGGAAAACATCCAACAATTATTTCAACGTGTGTAAAGTAAACCAATATGGTAGGAACGACGAAACCAGACCCATGTGTCGATGATACGGAAAGTTCATTTCATAATGAACAAATATAGTCCCTACGAATGAATTTCTCGATCAAAGAAATACATATTCAAAGACACCATTGTCGGTAACGACTCCAGCAACAGTGTTGCACTACTTCGGTTCATCGATAACCTGAATCTCCAACGAATCCTCAGAGCGAACTCGCGAGCAGGCAACAAATAATCGTCCATGCGGGAATACTGGTTGTGAGATTCCTTTCAGACATGCGCAACATTCTCGAGCAATGTGACTTTTCGTCCGACCCGTCCAATGTTGTCGCACATGGTGAAACATTTCGAATTAGTAGATTCAAATTCCCTGCTCCGGAAAATTGCCTCTATGTGTATATTACGCAATGGACGACGGTGCCGAGTTGTTGGTGGTACTGAATCTCCCAGTACAGGTATGATATTTCCTCTTTAACACGATCGGCACTATTATCCCGCTCCGCCACGGATCCATCGAACCAAAATCCAAAATTCCAACAGGAAGGAAAACCCCGAGGGAAATAATTATCTGATGGAACGGAGGTGCTAAAAGGTGCGACATCCCTTGGGGGCACATTTCCGGGTGAATTGCATGAGCTGATCCCCATCGATCGGAAAGAAAGAAAAATAAATGATATTGTAAAATTGACTCACTTGATTCCAGGATACGCGACGCTGCAAACGGCGTCTGGTCTGACGCGATTAGGGCCTCTTCTCATTGGTCTCCGTGCGGGCAAAGGTGGAAGACCCACACCTTCACTCTCACTCTTCTCTTCTCACTCCCGCCGTCGCCAATACGGGCTGCCGACGTGACTGCTTTTGGGGAATCATCATGGGAGAATGCTCCGACTCCGTCATCGAGCTAGGTTAGCTCTCTTATTACTTTCGTTCGTCGCTTCTGAATCGAGAGATGTTAGCGTTTCCCTTCATGCATAGGTAGGAGATGCGTTCGATGCCTTTGCTGGTTGTCGCCAGCCTCGTCGATGCTCTTCCACCGGCCGAGCAAATGGATGGGCTGCTCGACCGATAACGTTACGACGAACGGTGTCCCCAGAGCGATCGTCGAGTTGGGGCCTGGGTTAATATCCCATTCACAATAGCCTGCGCATGGCAGATGCATTTTGTATCGCGTTTTCCGGAGAAAATACTCATGCATGCCTCCGTAGCAATTCTGAAGGGAGGCGAGGGAGAGGACTCTTCCCCTCCTATGCCCGATGCAGGGCGGTGGGCGTGGAGTTCGCTCCACGATGCCCTTTCCCGAGCATTAATTGGAAATCTGCATTTTCTATCTCATTTTGTGTGGAATTAGCGCTGGTGCATAGCAGACTTCGGTCAATCGGCGTTCGGACGAGAAGAGTGAGCCGTGAACCGGCGATGCGTTAAGTTATATCACCCCTCGCTTTCGTCATACCATTCCCGTTATAAAATTTTGTCTTTCATGTCTCCCTGATACCATCTCGAAGAACGAAATTGGGTATGCCTTCTTACCCTCTCACCAGTCACCGGAGCATAATTGAAACCCGCGGTTCGGTGGCGTAAAATAATCAGTAGGATGGAAAGAATTTTCTGCATCTCAATCTAGCCTCTTCTGTGAAATTCCCGACTGTCTCGGCTTCTCGTCCTTGACGTTGTTTCCGGTAGGTTTTCATTCAAAGCTACCTGTCGCTCGGATCACAATTTTCCTGTAAATTTTCTGATGTCTGGAAGGCTGACTTCCGTTGAATTTCTGCTTCTTACTTAACCCTTTTTTTCTTGTATCGAGGTGTACAGTATTTCTGGCAATGCCCTGAGTTTATCGCTACGGAATGGATCTGTAAGGGAGAAAAAATTCTCATTTTTAGAATGGTCCTGCAATTTCTCTATTTATTTTCTCGTGACTTTTACCTATTACCTTTAACCGCAAAACGGTTGACTAGAAAATTACAAAAGGATCTCGAAGAGTATGGGGAACAATCTTCCGAAATTTTCGCGGAAAAAAGGATTACGAAACCTGGCTGGTTTTACGATCGTACCGTCTCACTCTCAACACTGAATTTTTTGTTCGATGAAGGTGAGGATGAAGGTGAGAGTCCATTGTATCCGTTGAGACGGAGGCGGGAGAATCCAGAGAGCTACTTGGGCGAGAGCATCTGGGAAGCCTTCTGGCTCGTCTTCGCCATCGTCCTGTATCTTGCCGACGTCGTGAGCAACATAAGGCGGCCTTGTACCGATACTACGTCGACAAGGAATACTTCTTCTTCGGCATGACGATTGGGATCGTCATCTTCGCCTGGCTCTTCGCCTTTGCCGTTGACATGCTCATGTGAGTCCATCATCCAAGGCAGGAAACTCCTGGTATTTTTCCAAAGTGGCCTTAGGTCAACCTGCGCTTAAGCGGCACTTTTCCTCATTTTTTGGCAAATGCCCCACCCCCCCGAAATGAGGTCCCTGACGTAAGACAAATCCTAGGGCTGGGCTGAGCATGATGTTAAGTGACTCTTTGGGGGTATTATTGACTCGTTGTTCTCTTTCATAGGTTCCTTGCAGACATGAAAGACATGCATTATCTATCACGTTTTCCACTGGAATGGCTCGTCAGAATACTGTTTGACCTTCTGATGATGGCTCCACTTCTCAGGTCAGTTCTCAGGAAGGTAGTCCTTGGTCGTCATATCAAGCCTGTCATGTGCTTAACCTTATGTGTTTCCTTATTGCCCCATCATTATTTTACAGGGCTACATCAGGTATAGGCAGTTATGACATTTACCTGGCAATATGGTAACAGGTTGTGACTAAATACGTACATGAATTAACATGTCTCCTTGAACCCCTCGTAATGGCCTTCTAAAAGCCAGGTTCCAATGGCGATGATAGTTGATGATGGTAACTTCTAGGTTGATAGGACGATCCAGACGAAGGAAGAAATGAAAACTCAGTCTATCTACTGGAATGCACTTGAAAAAGATCACTTAACCAACATTCGAATTAGACATTGAATTTGTACGTTGGTCTTTAACAGGTATTTCTATACATTGCAAGACATATGCCAGTATTGGTGCTCGGGATGCACGACAACATGGGGGAAAATTCATAGAAAACATACTGATTATCAGAGAGAAATGGCCTCATTTCTCCTACTGGTAGAGACGTACATTGAATCAAGTCCTCAGATGGTCCTCCAGTTTTACATCATTGTCCATGATGGGGCTACCTTTGCCGGAAATCCCCTCACATGTGAGCTGATTCTTTATCATTTATCCGTGGGGCTCAAGGAATTGGCAGATTTTAATGTAGTTTCTTCAATGTGCTGTCAAGGGATTTCTAAAATGAGCTCCGAGATGAAGCACGTTCACAAATTCTGCTGTGGCATGATATGAGGTGATGAGCTGATTTCATCCGTGCAGGAAATATATCAATTTTTTTATTATTATTGAAAACCACTTACACTTGATATGATTTGGCAAACGAGAATCTGGTTACCTATTAAAACTGTAACAGGCTTTGTGGTAGAGTCAAAGTACTTATTTTTCCCTTTTGGTTTGTAGTTGCCGCCCAGTGGCTTTCAATAGTGACATCCTTACTCGGTGTGGCGTCGGCAACATACAGCTACTACAGCAACTCCGCCAAATATCGGATAAAGAAAGTCGGGGACGGGGGGACAGAAATTGATAGTGATTGGACCATCCTGGAACTCGACTTCTTCTGGGATAAATTTCTTCTCTTCTTCTGGCACCTCGGTATCATCTGTAAGCTCTTTATGTTGTACTCTTCCTTCCCATGTATATATAGTGTTTTAAAAACATGTTCCACTCATTTTCTATGGGAGCCAAGTAACATTCACATCCATGGGGGTAAAGAAATGTGACCAGGTTTCAATATACTTCCTTAAAATTCTAAAGTCTTGAAAATGAAGTGAATAGGCACGATCTGACTTGCAGTTTGACTTGAGCTGTGAGTCATCGATCAAACGAAGTAGTTGCCTTTTGATTCCAGACTAATCCCCAAAGAATAAGGATATTTTGAATCCAGAAGAGAATGATAAGGATTTGGCATGAAGTTCTGATTTGAGGATATAAAGATTCAAATCTTTCCCCTCATCATTCCTCTATTTGGATACCGGACTGAACCTATATACGGTCTTGAGCCGATGTTTCATCTGAACTGTTGGAGTACTGCACGCATCTTATCCCTTTCTCACTGGTGCCCCAGCTACCCAAGTAACACAGCATGTTGATGAAACGTTTCCGAAATGTTGCCTTCAGTGAAGCCTACGCTTTTCCGTAATGCCAATATAGGCTCAGATTAGGTTCCCGTGAAGAAAACGTTTTTAACAACATTGCAGCAACATAAATCCTGAAACGTATCTGCAACACATATGCAATGAATAAGTAGCGATTTGCAACGTAAATGCGATGTTCCTTCGCAACATTTAAGCAACGTTGACGTTTTGGACATTAATACATAGATGCAACATTTGTTCATCAACATTTCCTAAACGTTGCTGGAATATCTTGTGTTACTTGGGTATCCGCATTATTTCTTCAGAAGCACAGAATTCCAGAATATGGAAGGCGTTATGGTTCCTTTAATTTCCGGCTTTTTCAAAAGAGTTCTAATGTAGGCGACTCTAACGTGATTTGGCATTAATGATTATCAGAAACAGATCGACAGCGGGTTTGAGGTTGTGTTGACTCCGTATACCAATCTAAGTTATATAATCAGTTTATTATGACAGTCAAGGTCGGGAGGGACCAATAGAGATGGGGATCTCATAGAATGGGTGGGAGGTCATAGAGGCTGATTGCTCAGCTTACTACACAATAGAAAAGACAATACTTGTGTAATTGTGATGGGGACAAAACAGAAGAACACTTACTCGAGATCCTGGCCCGCTACTCGCAGGGGGTTGTTTTCCCTCCCTCCCCCAGCTCCCTCTGGGGATGCACCTGAAAATGAAAATTTCCTGAAATTAGTACCCCAATAACTGCAGGATTACTAAATATCAGTTATGTATTTCTTCACTCAGAAGCTTCTTGCAGCGAACATGTCTTTGGTAGGAAATTCTCTATGAAGAAAGTCCTACGGGATGAGCCTCACAGCTAAAAGCGTTACCAATATTGGTATCAAGAAAAGCACTTGTTTACCAAATTTCAGTTTTCAATTAATACGTTTTTCGAAGAGGCGAAAACTTATTTAAAGCTTTCGATATATATGTCATGAGGGGACGTTACTGAGATTTTAATTGAAGTCATTACTCCAATCAATTCGTTTGCGGCAACTTCAAATCTCTTTGTATATTTCCATTTGTCATAGCGAAATATAAATCCTGAGATACCTCCCTCCTATAATCCGCCTCGAGGGGAGATATTTCAAAAGTAGGAATTTCTTACATTCAGCAATTCAACAGGTACTTCTGCGCCAAGTTAAAACTTGACGCAGTGGGAAAGTGATGTAATTCAAGTGTAATTCAGAGAACTCGAGGATATTCAATTTATTTGATTTCTTCTATCGTCATCACCCTGCTCGTGATTTTGGGGCTTTTCTTCTAGCTGCCAGGGTCTTGGCTTTGGGCCTGTTTGCAACTACCTTCTCCTGGTGGGTGTTTGTGATTGTGGGCATCCATATGAGCATCGTTGCGCCCTGGGCCATCTTGAAGGAGATGAAAAGTTCCCGACTCCGAAAATTCATCAAAATTTTCTTTGTATCCTTCATCTTCGTCTTTCAGTACCGCATTGCCGGATGGGATTGGGAACCCTTTACACTGATGTACGTCCTCATGGCAGTCGAAAATGTGGCGATGCTCACTATTTGGTCGTTCAATGTCGTCGATGTCTGGCTATGCTACAAAATCTTAATCTGTCTATTGGATCTCCTGTTCTTCATCATTGGCATCGTCTCGATGGTCATGTTGTGTTCCAACTTTGCGCTCAAAACAAAGGGTTACGAAATAAGAACGGTTTCTTCTAATGTATATCTTACCTTTGATGGATATCCCTGGTTGCAGACAACCATTTCTGGAAGAGAAGGACATAACAATTTCTTTTTTTCCAAAACCATGTAGTGATGAATTTCAATAGGACATACCATTCCAAGACGGGTGAATTCCAACATTCTTGCCAAGAATCTGCTAGTGAGTTCTCATCTCCGACACCGACGAAAATCAAAGCACGTTCGAATCACATGAATATTGTCATTAAGCGTTCCAGGAACATTAACTTCACATCGGCCTAGCCTATCATTAGATTATATTCATAATGCATGGTATCAAGCCTTGTGGCTCGTTTTGGGTCTAGGACAATTTATGCATATATTTTTTTCCATGTAAAGTCTGTCATTTGCCTCTGTCCACAGGGTCAGCGCTGAAACGATTGTTTTCCCATTTGACCCAATATAAAAATAAAAGAAAGAAAACATTCGAGATGGTTAAAATGTTGCAGTACCCTGGATTTAGTCCTCAACTTTATTGCCAGTCTAACCAAATACGACATTGCAATGCCAATTATTGGAATGCTCACTCCCACCGTAGTAGCACCCCAATATTGGGACAATAATGACGGCAATTAAACATTTATAATGGATTCTGAAGGTACTAAGTGTAGTACATTCCAGGGAATGATCCCCTTTCCTGCTCTGCAGAATATTCAAATCTTCCTTACCTTCCATGGGGACGAAATGATCAATCTTCCCCCAGAGATGAGGGAAGAAGATATGAGCGAATGTGCATAAACAAGTTCCTATTAATAGAAACTTCTTCCAATTGCAAGGGATGCAAGGGGTTCTCATAGGAAGATGAGCTTGTTCATCGCCTGAGCTCCATGACTCTGTCCCAAATCTAGGGATAATAAATTGTTGTGTCAGATTTATGGTGCTTGCTATAATGAGATTGGAAAAAGGTGTGGTGAGGTACTTAACATTAATATGCATTCAAGTGAAACGCACCGTTTGAATTAGGAACACCGAAGTGTGTGGAATGAAAGACCGAGGATGCCTCCCGAAACCGTTAGTGCAGCAATTTGAAGCTCAGAAAAGGAAAGGTTTCGACTCGATAGGACCGACCCGAAACTTGTATCGGGCGTGTAGCTCGGTTTGCAATCGGCTTTCCAGTCGAGTATGAGGGGAAACCACACACAAGGAGTTCTGAAGCTTGGAGATCTAAGTGGCCTGCGGGCAGAACCGAATTGCTCGACATGACTGCGAAACGGGTCCCCAAAGTTCTATCGGTGATCAAAGTTCGGGTAGTGTGCGGGCCATAATTCGAATCGGGCCGATGAGGTCAGAAATTCGATCCATGGGGTCCTTCGACGGAGACGGCGGCGTAGGGTCGCGCGCCCTCCTTCCCTATTCCTCCCATCCATGTCACGCTTATGGACAGAATAATATAATAATAACGCTAAGAATTATATTCGACAGCAGCTTTTCGTGCGGGGAAGTACCTAAGGACTAGAGACGAGCAAACGTCGTAACGATCTTTAAGAAGGGCGAAAAGAGTCATCCAGGATATTACAGGCCGGTAAGTCTCACGACTATCCCAGGGAAGATCACGGAGAGCATACTGAGGGACCATCTCTTGGATTTCGTCGAAGGAAACGCGCTCATTTGGGACTCTCAACACCGCTTTAGGAGGCGTCGAAATCGTCTCACCGATTTGCTCGAATTCTACGACTGGGCGATGGAAGAGAGGGATAAAGGAAATCCTGTGGACATCGTCCATTTAGATTTCGCGAAAGCTTTCGATACCGTTCCTCACAAGAGATTGCGGGCTTAACTGGAGGCGCACGGGATCCAGGGTTGGACGAGCTAGTGGATCGGTAGCTGGTTGGCAGGAAGAGAGCAACGAGTGATGAGAAATGGGGAAGAGTCGAAGTAGGTAGGACGAGGAAGCGGTGGCGAGGTCCTCGGGCGGCTTCTGTTTTTGGTCTACGTAAACGATTTGGATCTTCGCGTTGAGGGTAAGATAAATAAATTTGCCGACGATACCAAGATATGTTTTACCATGAAGGGGGAGGCGGATTGGGCTAGGATAGGACACGGGTTGGAAGCCCGTGGATCCGAAAGGTGCGCTGACAAATTGGGTCATGCAAGTCGGAGCTTCGAAGTAGTAACGAGTGGAGTAGCTGTGGTGCTTGAATCGTGGTGGTGGCTGATGTGTACGCCACTTGGTACCAGGGTTCAAGGTAACAATTGGTTTCCTTAGCCTGGTACCGGGCGAAAAAAAATGGAAGGGCACGCAAACGTTGAGCACATTGTGGCACTGCTGGCAGATAGGCAGAGCCAAATTTCTTCCCTGGTTTTCCTTTTTCCACGTTTCTTGGGAGAAACGGGGATGGCGTGTTATCTTCATTCCGGCCCGTGCCGATTCGCGCATCTTCTGGGTCTTTCGAGCAGTTACGTTTTTCCCCCTTTTTTTCCACGAAAATCCCTCCACGAGGGATTTTCCTTTCATTTCTCCAACGCCTGAATGTACGCAAACGATGCTATCAGCCGTCTTCGATGACGAACGCAGACGCGCAGGATCGAATGGGCTCGCCGGGGTGGCAAATGAGATGGTAGACCTGAAGAGACGAGATGCGCGTGTGGGGTTTCCACGTTTCGCGAATGAGGATCAGGCGAGTCGAGATCGGAATGGGATGTCGGTTCCGTCGTGTGGTAAGGATCGCGACCTGCTAGCGACGACTCGTGATCTTCTACCGAAATTTCCACAATGAGGCCGCAGTCTGTCTTTCCTCGTTTCCTCCGCGTTGGGGGTATGCTTGATGCATTCATCGTTCCTGGGAACAAATAGACGCAGTGATCCTGGTATTGGCAGTCTCTCCTGCACTTCTCCAATTAGTTTTCCTAATTTATAGACCAGGAATTTCCATCCAAATGCTCCTGCGTAATGGGCGGGGCTCTTCCGCATTCGGGAAAATATATCCATGGTTCAGTTTAAAGCTGAGTCTAATGAAGCGCGGGGTACTTCCGTCGATCAAGACGTTCTACGCCAATCGGCGGACAACTATCCGATCTGCCAACGTATTAGCCGTTTGCGGCGTGAGGGAATTTTATCTTTTTTATGCTGTGACTGAGTCGTCTTGCGACATTATTATTCGTTTAGTGTGCTTACCTTCAACAATGAGATCAATTAGAGTCAATAAAAGTTGTGACCCACAGATAGTACAAGACGTCTGCTAGAAAATATGTCCAGAAGCGACCCGTGGAACGCAATGTTGCGAACGCGTTACGAAGTAACAATGTTAATTTGGCTGTTTCTGCCATCGAGCGGGCGGCGGAAGAACTACAGGGCCCCAGCTGCTACATCTAGCTATTGACGGCGAAAATACGGGTAGACATTTCGTCCCTTCTCTTTCGACGTCATCAGTCGGGCGGCATCCGTGATTGCACTCGCTCCATTTACATTGCTTTCGAGGACTGCCTTTTACAATGGAAAGCAGGCCCTTGAGAATAAAAATCGGAGGTCTTAATGTTGCTTTTAGTGCAATACGTTCTTTAAAAAAAAGTGAGTAATTTTGTTCAGAGTGAGTAAAACTTGCGTTAGCGGTTTCACTCTTCAGAAAAGAGTATAAATTGCTGACTATAGTTTCATCCGCGCTGCATGTCTTTATTCTACCGTTTGTAATGAAGAGCATTCTTGTGGCTAATTCTCTTATTCGACGATCCTCTCAAGTAAGGGTTTCGGAGAGCTATGGAACTTTTTCCTCACGAAGAACGAGCGAGATAAGCCACCACGACATCATCGGCCAGCGGTGATAAGGACCTGTTTGAGGAGGCATACGGATATGCAATGGTTTCCAACGCCTCGAATCCTCCTCGGGAACGCGCTGTTGGGATCACTTTGTCGTGGCCGTCATGCTCCGAGTTTAATGTCGCTCGTGTCTACTGGCCTCTGCTTTGATCCACCTGTGACGCATTTTCAGAACCCGCTGGAGGTATGGAAGAGCCTCCATCGCAGAAGGCCTCCAAGCCATGGCATCCGACAAGGCGATCGCGATGGGGATGGCCCGACTCCACCAAAAAGGGGAGTGGAACTTCCTCGACCACGACGCCGTCCTGTGGAGCGAACAGGTCATCGAGCACTGGGAGTTCGTGCAGTACACCAAAGTGGGCATGGTGGTGAAAGAAAAGGCGGATTTCCTGATTGAATTCATACCCAAAAGAGGGGAGAAGGCGTACTAAGAGTTCCTGAAGTCCATGGAACGGCGAGGGCACCGCATTTTGGCGCAAGATTTCCGCAACGGTGTGAGACGAACACAAATTTAATCATATTTGGAAGTCTTAAAACAAAAAACGTTTTGCTGTCACGAGGTTGACTCACAATATTTGCGCCATTAAGGGTTAAAAAAGAATCTGAGCCCATGACATTCTGATTATACCTTTCTGAATCGCCGCAGAATACTGTTTGGCTGAAGATATTGCCATGTAGCCATTAGATCCTTAGGACATGGCCGCATCATTTCGACGAAAAGTGTCACATGTTTTCAATATAATTGACAGCAGATTAAGTTAATTCGATGATTGTCTAAGTCATACAAGAGGCAACATTATTTGGCAAATTGCACGCAATTTGTAAAAAAATGGCTCATTCCGTGCAATGCGCACCATGCTCGCTTTTTTCATGAAATAGGCAAAATGTTGCGCAATGCATGCACCGAGCGGCTGCATGAATCACACATAACCGGTCGATATTTCATGAATCACTAAGAAATTAATAAGAAATAGTTCTAAAAGTTTAATGGCACCCTTTACGGAATGCATGATGTACAGCCAGTCAAACTCTGCTGTTCGCTGCCTCGAAGCAACGCATGAAAACTGGTATGCTGCCTTGAATTTGTATCAATGCAACATGAACCTTACCTAAGAAATCAATCATAATCTTTCCGGTGGTAGATATGTTGCAGACTCTTGGCGTTGGGGACCAATTCGTAAGGAGTTTTCGCAAAATGACTGCAAATGAGCGCAAATATGAAGTGTGACAAAACATCTACTCAACATTTATCTAATTTGCGCAGCTTATTGAAACGTGAGGCGACTCTAATGGATCTCTGCAGTTTATGGATCTCATTCTTGAGTACGAGAAAAATATTTCGGGAACCGGAAAGAGCGAAATTTTGACTTCCTTTCGAATCTGCAGAAGTTAAATTGACCCACTCACAAGACTCCATCGCTTCTTGACAGAAGTTACCGCTGCGTCAACCTTGAATGCGGAAGCGCGCTGCCCAGAGCAACAACTGCCTCTCCGAGAGCAACAACTGCCTCTCCGAGAGCAACAACTGCCTCTGCAAAAGCTACTAATGCCCTGCAAGCAGCCCGCTGGATTTGCGCAAGGGTATCTCTCTCCTCGAGTCAATTTTGAATAAATACGAACTAATTATTATAAATCATTTAAATCTATGAATGATAAATTACGAACTCTTGTTAGCAAATTAAGAACAATTAATTACTTTTCTACTACGCTAAAGAGAAACTTAGGATTGTTGGGTTATATGGCTTGTTATAATGTTTTGAGTAAACATGATCTCCTTCTGCTGGCACACATCTGAAGTTTATATATTTCGATATTTGGAGGGAAATGGAATCGACCAATATTTGTGAATATTTATATACATTACTCAAACCACAATAATATTCATAATAGGTTAATAGGAAATTAGTGCATCTGAATGTCTTTTGGTAAACTCACCCTTGAGATAACCTGCATTCATATAAGGAATGGAAATAGAAAAACAAAAATTGAGATTAGATTGTTCAATAATTTTATTGCAGAAAATGGAATGCACATTTTTCTTTTAAATATATGTTAAAAAGAATCCATCAGATTGCACTCTTAAGTGGCACCTTTCGTTCGTAGAGGCAATGTGTTTTTCGATATTGTCTTTTTTTTTGACAATCTTGGTGGATTTTTAAACTACAGGAGAAGTAAATAATTTCATTGAATTGAATAAAATAAAATAATTTGATTTTTTAGTCTTGATTTATCTTGATTCACCTACAGGTCCCTGGATCATTCGAGCTGTATTGCCCACTGAAGCACATCTGCACGAAGGCCGTTGAAAATTTGTATCTTGGGACCCGTAGGAGTAGGGAAGTCCACTCTTGGAAACGTTCTCAAAGGTGGAAAGGTCAAATAAAAAATGAACTTTCCGCAGTAGCCCGTTACATTGAATACACATTGATTAAATGCTGATTCGACGTCTGGCTATTGATTCAATGGAACAATGCAGTCTGGGGCCTTGATAACCCCCTAAAAAAGAAATACATATTTATTTACACTTTCGTTCAATAGCAAGGTGCAAGCCTAGATTTGAAAATTTTTTAAGTCAATCGATTAATTAGCTCTAAAAAAACAAAACAAAAAGAAATTGCTTTTATATGTAATCTCTTTTTTCTAACTTTCCGTTTGTGCTGAGACAACTCCATTTCAGATGGACAGGAGAAATTGTATTTTTTCTTTCTACTCTCTGCTTGTTTCGCTGCGACAAAATTTGCGACAAGCGTCACTTCAACCACTGTCTCCTCTGCACTAAATCGAGCATTTTTCTTGTTCGAAATGCATTCTGGCCGAATGGCTGAACTGTTTGACGAACTCTGATGGAGTGTAAAAAATGTGAATGTGAAATTGAATCGATGATGATTTAGTGCTGGCACTTCCACCGTGAATAGTGCAGCATTGAATCAATGTTGACTCAACATTGAGGTATACACCTTAAATGGATGCATTCGATCCACGCCAAATCGATGTTGAATCAATCTTATGTGCTACCCGGGTTGTAACAAGCCACTGAAGTAAAATGCTGAGTAAACTCAATGGCCCTATCGAAAAGGTCAACAATTTCGCATTGACAGGCCTGTCGGAATGGGATGACTTCAAGTTTGAAGGGACATAAACAGGCTGGGGATAATCATCTTGCAGCTCTGCTTTGGATTTGGCAGCTGAGACGAAACGTTCTCGGCAATAGAAGAGATTGCCATTTTTACTCAGCGATCTACAATTCATGCAAATAGGGCAGTTCGTAAATTAACAAAAAAACAAACGGATTCCTTGCTACATTGCTAACCTATGCAGCATGTCTTGCAATTCTGCCTGAATTCAAGAATCTTAGCCCTCGCCCGGGGAGATTCTCCAAGCATTGTTTTTAATTAAAAAAAATTCATTTCAATTTCAGACAGCTGCAAGTTGTGCAACTCGAATGATCAAAATGCTCTCCTTCATCATCCGTCTCCAAAAAAAAATAGAAAATCAAGGCCTTTCTTATGGCACCGGTTGTCCCAAGCCGACCTCTGGATCATTATATTTGTCTCTCTATAAACAATTTGCCATCCTCTCCACATCATTTTACGATCCATCTCACAAGTTTGTGCGTAATTATGCTTTCACGCATTGGTAGATACTAGAATCGGAGAAAAGAGAAGGAAAACAAGCAGTAGGGCAGACCGATTCGCACCGACGCCTGGAGCCGTCGCTTTTTTGGGTGACTGCCGCCGTGACTTTTTGCAACGGGAGGAAATCCGGCTGCGCGAAGGAGCGCGGCTCGCGTTTCACTCGCTCGGATCCCGTTTTGATATCTCGGGGGAAGGACTGAGCGCTGATCCACTTTCGATCGAATGGCGAAGTCGTTTCTTCGTCCGAACGGGCCGAGATGCAGATCATTTTATGTGGCCGTGTGGATTTAAATTTCGCGACCGATTTTGGTTCGAGGGAAAATTGGAGCACAGCGAAATAATAAAAAAATATTTATTATTTCGAGGAATCAGAGAAGACCCGAGGATTTAATCTCCGGAGTCAGGCGATAAGCGCTTCACTGTTCATCGGGCGGTGCTGATGTGATCATCGCTCTGTGCAGCACGCGTCTCGAGCCGTGGCTTCTCGAGTCATGGCATCTCCGGTAATGGCATCTCAAGTCATGGCATCTCACCTTTCGGACGCGATGGCTCGCAAGCAGGAAGAGTTTTATATCCTCGATCACGACGCCATCCTCTCGGACTTAAGGAAGAAGCGCGTCATCAAGCAATGGGAGTACACGAAATACATGGAGGAAAGAGACGTGAGGGAGATGGTCATCTTCCTGGTGGACATCATACCCAAGAGGGGGATCCAGGCCTTCAAGGCGTTCCTGGAGTCCTTGCACCTGCGAGGGCATGTCAATCTGGCACAAACGCTCCAGGATGGTGAGTCGGTCGTTCCTGAACGCTGCTGATTATGAGGGTGTTTGCATATTTGTCGACTGAGAACTGCTGGCTGTTTACATAAATTTTGATGCTTCGTGGAACTTTTTATTACTTCCTGCGCCGAATGTGTTGCGAATTTCATTCCCTCTTCGTAAGAAAATCTTCGACGAGAAATTTAACTAAATACTTCGCAGGGTTCGGAAGCACGTCTTCACTTGGTGTGCTGCCCAGGCAGCACACAAGTTGGGCCCACGTTGGCTGTGAGTGGGGGAGTCAACATCGCAGTGGGCCGTGCATGTAGGCCCCACGTCGGCAACCAACATTTCTCCTATCTACGGTCGAGCCTCTATTCCAGTTACATGAAGAAATAAGTTTTCCACGGATTCTCATCCGCACAAAATGAAGCGAAATCGTGCAGAAATAGCCACGGAATCAATATCAGGGAGGGACTCACTACAAGTCCTCAGTCCATTTCACGCGGTTTCTCCTCTTTTAAATGTTAAGGTCGAGTTGTCCAGGGAGACTCCTGGCCATTGTAGAGGGAACACAGCTCAAATGACTCGCCGGAGTGCGAATCACTCGAGAGGAATCTCCTCGATTTCGGTGGCCTGCTTGTGGCTAGAGGCTTCCCCACGAGGCAATCCAGCTGCGACGAAAGAGATCACTCGAGGTCATCACACACAAGCACTTCCAGAGCGTTGATAGAAAGAATGCCCTAAAGGAAGTCTTAGACGGAGGCAATTGGAGACAACCCTTTCGAATCGTCCACCTGCTAGAAGGATTTGGAACCAAGTGGATGTACCCTATCGCCCCTATTTGAGCAATGTCCACCTGGTTCTAAATCCACCCGGGGAATATCCACCTGGCACGAGTAACACGTCACGAATGACCGGAGGGTTTCCACTCGGTGAAACATCCACCTGCTTCATAATCCACCTCCTATTCATCTGGCCGTTCAGACAAGTGGATGCAGGTGGACGTTTTGCTAGGGAAGGTCCCCAGTACGGGAGCATAGTAATCATGCAGATTCAAGCTTTCGAAGCCTTCTCTAATCATCTGAAAATTATGCCAAGCGTCAAATTGTAATGCTGGTCAAGTGTGGGCTTCAAACGTTGGCTCAATGTAGACAGTTAATGTTGACCCAATGCTGGCTCCCAGCGTGATACCACCCCCGGTAGCATCCCAATATTGGATCAATATTGGCTGCCAAGAATTATACATATTGGTCCGGTTATGCTGGTTATGCCATCTTGGACCAGTATTGGGATTACAACCCGAAAAAGCATCGGGCCAGTATTGGCCTTAATAATTTCTCTAAATTCTTTATCCAATGAGGATATTCCCATGGGGAAAGCATTTAAATATTTAATACTAATACGACCTGTACCAGTACAACCCCTGGCACATGTACACGTCTGCCCCATGGTTAGGCAGGAGACACAGTGCAGAGGTTCATCTTCCCTTGGATGTAGTAATTGTAGTACATTTCAGGGAAAGGCCCAATGCTTACTGTTCTTCAGAGTATCTGCAAGTTCAGTCACTCTTTTCATTTTGTTCTCAGGATGAGGAAACGAAGGATTGATCTTGCCGATACTCTCCATGATATCATACCCCTTTCGGATGTCACTCTGTTTGCGTAAAAGGTTCTCATAGAGAATATGAGCTTGTTTACGGCCTGGGCTCCATGATTCTGTCTCGAATATGCGGATAACAAATGAAGTGTCCGAGTTTCTTGATGGCTATAATGAGACAAGGCGAGACATACAGCGAAGTAGTAACTCCTGTGAGAGACGATTAGAGGGAAAGAGGGAAGGTGTATCGCTAACCGCGATACCATTTTTTTTTAGTAGTTTGCAGAGTTTCAGCAAATCCTGGGAGACTCGATTTTCATGGGTGGTTTCGAATTTGGGATTGGGAGAATTTGCACTGAACAATTTCCAGCAGTTTTCCAGGTGCCAAAGTGAAATTAATAAAAGTTTTCACAGAGCACATCAGGAGAAATTCACACCAAAAAACACGAATTTTCAGGTTCTAGGTTCTCCCTGAACTTCTCCACCTCCATCTACCTGGCTGATCGACCAGGTGGACATCGCTCCAACAGGTGGAAGTTCGCCCAAGGGGACATCTACCAGGTTCCGATTCTACCTGCCAGGTGTACGTTTTCTAAGGGCTAGGTTCCAGGCAGGGTGATTGGCATGATATTTCATGCATGCCGAGATTCCTTGGATGGATTCCATCGAATGATCAGCTGGCAAACGTGGAACGTTGTGATTCCCCCCACAAAAAATTCATATCTTGCTCAGCGGCTCTGTTGCTCAGCTCGATGCAGATAAAACGCGTGCATGACAGTCAGTTATCGCGAAAGTGGAACAGCAGCTGAATTTGGGAGTGTATGCATAACGAACAGTCGGAAAATCAACGATGTACTCGTGGAAAATAAATAAATCGCACTCATACCTTACAGATAAAGCACTCTGAGTGTCTACATACAGGGTGGTGAGAAAGTAAGGATCAAGAACTAAAAGCCAATGAATCGATAAATACTAGCCAAAATGTGTATCGCTGATCCCACAGGAGCTACTTCGGCGGAACTTTCACTCTGAAGACCTGAATAAGTTTCCAAAACATTTTCAAAATTTCATCCAAATTTATCATTCCTAGGCAGCGTCTGATCGACGCTAATTCTACCCTAGTTTCAAATATGGTGGAAAGATGATACTTGGCTTAGGAATACTAAATTTCTTAAATTGTGCACAGCTCTATAGAGTTTTTAAGTGGGAAAGATCCTGTAAATCTTGATCTTGAAGAAAATGATCCTTGTGCTGCAAAAGGTACTGCATGAATGAGAAAAAGTGTGCGGCATCTCGACTTAACGTTACTAACCTGAAGTTGGCAGTGACGTCACATGACCGAAAGTAACTTCCCGTCGAAAAGAAACATGGCAATAATCGATGGAATTCCACCGCTTTAGAATATGCGAGTACCGAAAGTGCACGACTCCGACGAACAAATCCATTTGCTTACATCGTAGAGGGAGTAAATCGCTCCGACTTGCATGTCCGAATTCATCAGGGATTTTTTTAAAAAGCATTTCTGCTGTTTGTTTTTTTTACTTTTGGAGTCTCTCATCGGCCCTTCTGTAGAGGAGTGAAATCCACGAGAGTGTGAGAAAGGAAAGATTTATGTTGATCCCACGGAAGTGGGCGGAAGTTGTTAGTGGAAAGAAACTGAAAAGATCTCGGATATTCTGGCAACTCTGCTGAACGTTTTTTCCGGCCACTCTAGATTCCAGGAAAGGGGGAGATATGAGAGGTGTTTTTTTTATTAGGGGGGAGGGGAACGATAAAGATTAAGGGAAAAAGCCAATGCACTTTCGAGAGGGCAAAAAGTGTCTCAAGTGTTTCGAGTGTAAACGTTCCACGCCCTATTCAAAAACGTCATGTAATTGGTGATCGAACGGCACCGCCGCTGAAGGCCAAAACACGCTCATCCATGAACAGAGAACGTCTCAAAACGTCTTTGAACAAAAGTAGAATATCCTCCTGTTACTTGAGAAGTCGTATTGAAGAATCACTAAAATCTGAGATATCGAAAAATAGCAGCTTACATGAGCAAAAATTCGATCGATCTGTTCATGGCTCCCGCCTCTTTCTTGCAGAGGCTTTCGCTGCATCAACCTCGAATGATGTGGTCTCTCATCAAGAGCAGCAACCTCCCCTCCGAGAGCAGCAACCTCCCCTCCGAGAGCAGCAACCTCCCCTCCGAGAGCAGCAACCGCTCCACCAACTGTCTCCGATGCACGGAGTGTCTGCGGGAGAAGACTCAGAGGAGTAAGACGCTTCTTGCCACTCTTGCATTGTTCCGGAATAATTGTGTTTTCCGCACTGAAAAATCCAATTGTCTCGGAGGAATGCTCCGACATCTTAGGACGCAGATGCGATTTAATGCTGCACTTCCAGTCCCAATTCCCTCTGCTATTTTGCAATCTGAATGCAGGGACTCTTTCACGAGATGAAAATGTCACAGCAAATCCGCAGATGTGTCAGGTAATCTAACAGGGCAATTATTGCTCCAATATTCGTAAGTTTTCTCCGGTGAAAACGGGGTCGCAACAGTTATTGTTTGAAGCAATTTCTGGGGGAAAACTTCATTCGTTCACATTTGGGGGAACTTCATCGTGACCTACCCTAGCCTATTTTTTCGAACGTTTCAAATTTGAATAAAATTGTTTTTCATTTATCTAAGGAAACTAAATTGATGCACTGAATGATTCATTGACTTCGATTTAAACGCCAAAATTACATAATATTGGCGGACTCCTTTGAATAACGGACGTTAGCACCTGTTATTTTTGATGAACGGGGAAAGCAACAGGAAAACCTATAGGCTTAAAATCATCTCCGTTGAAGGCGATAACCTTATCTGTACGATATCCGTTACATCTGCCCCATCCGGGACATTAATAGAACAATTCCTCTTTCTCCTTTCTTACTCTTAGTGTCGCAAATAGCCGGTGACTATTCAGGCGTCAGCTACTGCGTATAGGACAGGACGCGTTACACGGTGGCTTTAACCTTCCTGCTTCAGTCCTTTGAACTAAGTTCTTCGCATTTCACCAAGCCTGGCAATGAAACAGGTCGCGTAATGCACGAGCTGGAATTCGCTGACGGGCGATTCCTGAGTTATTCGAACAAAAGTAGTAAAAAAAAATTGATTTACCGAATTGTCATTCAACTTGCTTCTCCTGCACTGGATGGATACAACTCTTGGACGAAAAAAGCTCCTCTAAATATTCATCACCTGGCATGGGATGGCTTTTCATTACTCTTGCACCATTCCATTTTGATAAATATAACACTTTCTTGGTGAGACTCGCTTTTTGACTGATTTGCCTCGCAAGAAACGCTGAAAATCCCTTCTATCCAATTCATTTTGGAGCAAAAATAAATATCCTTTGGCCTGGATAAAGGTGAGGGTCTATGCCTTCTCTCCGTAGAAAGAGCCCAGCTTGATAAACCTTCGAGTAAGATAAATCCGTCTTTTGCTTCACTTTTAACGAAAGTGAATTAAAATTACACAACGATAATCGTCGCACGGTTTGGAGTTAAGGCGAAGATAAGTATAGTTGCAACCACGCGAAAGAATAAAAAAAACTGTAGGATGTAAAGTTTACCAAACGTAAGCATTTGCAGTGTTTCTTCCACAGTGCCCGAACTATATTGCGATTTGTATTTTCCTTTTCCAGCCCATCCGGGATTACCAGTGCCGGTATGTTCATTTCTTGTCGGTACAGTCATGAGTCTCGATGAACCTGACGCCGACAGACGTTGAACTGACTCACTCCGTAGTTCCGAGTTCAATGCGAGACATCCTGCAGGCGAATAGGGGATCCCTGACGGCCTTGGACTTTCAGGTCGAGACGGTCGCATCTGGCCTGATGGAATCGGGCGTGTTCTCGCAGAGGGATTTGGAAGCGATCATGACACCAAGAGCGCGGGGGGAGAGGGTCCGTGTCCATTACTTGAAGTTGGAGGCTAGGATCAATCCCGGGAATTTTAAGCAGTTCCTGGCAGTACTTGAACAGGCTGGACGGAGCGACATATCCGCAAAACTTCGGCCGCTAAGTAAGTTTGTTTTTCGAAACCATGAAGTCAGCTCGACTTACTTCTTATTTTGGTATGACGTAAATTACGTTTTTATAGAATGAACTTATCACCCTTGGGAGTTACTTCCGTCGTCTCTGAAGCGATACCGGTACGACTCGCTCATTCAGTAGTTTTAAAGGACAGCCGAATCCATTCGAAATTCTAACATTTACGGGCAGCTGCATTATAAAGGTTCACTGAAATCCTTACATTATTATCCATGTGTTTAATTTGAAGGAATGACACGAAATGCGAATAGAATCACAGCTAACGAATGTATTTCAATCATCACATATACAGTTTCCTCACTATTCATAGTTGCAGCACATGGCAAATGCGTCCGCCGTCCGATTACAGGCTCTTTTTGAATACGCACGATGCGATTGTCGCTAGCTGATTGTCGAGTTAACTTTTAATGGGAAACATTGCGATAATTGCAGAAGTTTGGAAGTACGTCTCTGTATCATGATGCATCATGAAGACGACATGATTTCTTCAAACTCAGTCGCCATAAACGTAGTTGGAAATTATTCGTGAGGACACAATTACGGATCTTTAAGAATGTACGTTTCACAGCCGGATCGCTTCGTCCAGAAAAGGAACTCACATTTTTCCATTGAATTAGAGTGGTAATGCCCACTTTGACCCTTTTGTGGGCACTGGGAATAATTCTTCCCACCAAACCTTTCACCCTCCCATTGCTCTGGGAAGGCTTCTTCCCACTTTGTAACACCCACACTATCTACCAGTGACCACTGGTGTAGCGAGGGGGGAGGGCTGGGGGTGCTTCACCCCCCCCCCCCCCCCCCCCCCCCCCNGTGTGCACCCCCCCCCCCCCCCCCCCCCCCCCCCCCACCGTTCTGCTTAACGGATTCGCGAAATCCTGGCAATACGCCACTTACAGTGACCAAGACAACTCCTTTGAAAATTTCCCCGGCGCCTGTGAAGCCTATAGAGAAGCCATTTTGGAGCAGATATGGAAGCGTGCCACCTGTTCGGGCAACACTTTCAAGGAGCAGAGAATACTATGGAGGAAGCAGAGAATACATGGAAACTTGAAACACAACACAATACATAATGAAACCTTTCTTGAAAGAAAGGTTCCCCAATGTATTCGTTGTGTTTCAAGCAATTTCATTCCTCTTAGACACATGTAAGGGATCTCTGAGTCTCAGTATTTTCCACTGCTTTGTGGAAGATTGTGTATGTTTAGAACCACAATGTCAGCAATGTTAGGAAACTGCAGTGATGAAAAGGGCATTGGAACGAATAATTTCCATAGCGAATATTATAATTTTTTGTATTAGTCCGGAAATAAAATAAGTTCTCAAAATGAAAGTATCTGTTGGTGAAAAAATGAAATTTAATGAATTTCGTCAATTGCACACTAGAAAAAAATTGCCCACGAAAAGGTTAACTGAATTTATAAAAGTGCTTTAGCTAGATACGCCTCACGTACCGTTAATAAGAGGTTAGCAGAACATGTTGCGCTCGAGTCACGTACTTCCAATAGGTGGTGAACGATATGAGATATGAGAGGATCGATATCGCCGAACTTATTTCGAGCGATATCGTCAATCCTTTCCATTGGAATACTATCGAAAAGGAAAAGAGTACAGCATTAACATTGGTGTCTTAGCCATCAGCTAACATTAACATTACGATGGTACCTGCCCCCTTTCTACCTGTTGCCATGCAAGTCTTACATTGGGACAGGGCCACAAGGTGATGCAGGAAATCTTCATTTACTCTTTAGAACTAACTGCTCAGGGCTGACACGCTGCAATAAATTCTTTATTTTTAGATTTTCCTTCATCGAGCCTCCGTATCCCAGATAACATTTACCATACAACATATGTCCGCATGCTCACATCCTGAGAAGGTAGTCCGGATGTACGTCGGATGATTGATGCTGTCTGGGATGTAATAGTCTGGTTACGGGACTATTCAGTGACGTCAGAGCATGGCGGTGTTTCCAAACACCCAGTCTGTTTCAACGTGGCTTGGCGGATATTTGCAATTTTTTTTCCCGTTAGAAGAAATTGTGCAGTTTTTGCAAGTTTATCTGGTTGTAAGCACCATTGTACGATCAGCAGCAGGTTCAGTCAATTCCCTCGTGATGCCTGGAGAAAGAAGAAATGGAACCTCATCATGCCTTTCTTAGGCCTAGCTCTATTCTCTCTCTGCAGAAGATCTTTGAAAGTGCAGCCCATCCTGCCACGGTCGCAGATCAGATTCTCAAACTCTGTAGTAACTCACATGTCTGCATAATAACTCTTACCCAACTTCTAATTATATGCATTCAGCATTCCACAGTCCCACAACGGGTCAAAATTGCTGAGATGATTCCATTTCATGAGAAGGGCAGCATGCAAAATCCCACCAACTAAAGGCCTACCTCAATCTTTCCTGTCATTTCCAAAATACTTGAGCATCACATTGCCAGCTCCACCTATTCCTTACTCTTTTGATTTAAACTTCCTGCACCCCAACCAATGTGGCTTCAGACCCCACCATTGTTGCCAAACAGCCCTCATCAAATTCTGTGATGATGTGTTTAGAAACATGGCAATGGAAGCCTAATTGATGCAGTGTTCCTTGACCTCTTAAAAGCATTTGGCTCAGTCCCACATGACAGGCTCCTAGTTAAATTACCTAATTTTAACATATCTCCCTCAGTAGTAGCATTTTTCAAAAGCTATCTATTGGACTGGTTCCAATTCATCAAATTGGGAAACAGGTCCTCAGCAATCCGCCCTACTCTCCTCATTGGTCTCCTCATTCTTTTCTTGCTCCCATCTAATTTACCTAATACATTAATGACCTTCCTCAAGCTAACACAAGCTCTCTATGCATCTAGGCCTCTATGCAGATGATGTAACCTTATATTTCTCATCTGCAAACCCTGATGAAATCTCACCTAATCTTCAGTCAAACCTTGACAGACTTGCTAAACAGGCTTCCTGCATCACACTTTCCATTAATCCTGAATAGGATTAATGGAAAGTGTGTGTGGAATGAACTATTCATACAAAATCTCTACCAGAACTGCTCCTAGTTACCTCTCCCCATATCTCTCCCAATCAGGAAATACCACACACTATGTCCACTCCCTCGCATCCATTTCATGGATGCGAGGGAGTGGACATAAACATCCCAGGAGAAACTTAAGTATAAGGACATCAAGCATTGGAATTCCCATTTTCTTAATGGATTAAGGTGCTCCCCCACTCTACCTAGATTTAAAACTGACCTCAAAGAATGCTTACTAGCACAATACATACCATAACTACTTCACCAGCATCAAAATCCCATCCCTTTTATTATGCTCTATTCATGTTTTTTCGGTCCCCTCTTCTGGACACACCCCACAGATTTTTTATCTCTCCCCACCCATTCATAACCAACATTTCTCCTGCATGAGGTTATGTGGCCCTCCCTACTTCTCTGTATTCTTTTCTTCCCATTTCCTTTGCACAGTTTCATATATTGTCTTCCCATATCTAAAACGCATTAAATTGTTAAATTGTCTATGTAATGGTATAAAATACTCCTATGTACTTGTTGTTAATCCTTCCTAATATGTCTGATGCCTCTCCGGCCCACAAAGCAACTGAGTTATCAGTTAAGCTCCTGTATAGCCTCATAATATGGACAATGGAGATAGATGGACAGGGATGGAGTACATTTTTCGAAAGAGGGAGTTCCAGTTGCAATACACCGTTCAAGCAGTTTTCCTGTGAAGACATACGTGTTTGATAGTGACTAGTGCAATTTCTAGGAATTTTTCAAAGATGAACAGTTAATGGGAATTATTCTTTTCTCATGCATAATAAAACCATACTGCATTTAATGCAAAAATATCTTACTTGAATAGTGGGAACCCTCAATGAAGGCAGCAGAGACTTCGCTATGGCCATGCTGAGCGAGTAAGTCATCAAAATTTCCTGTCGGCTTATCATTCGAAATTCTAACATTTATGGGCTGCTGCATGATAAAGGTTCACTGGAATCCTTACATTATCATCCATGTGTTTAATTTGAAGGAATGCGAACGGAATCACAGCTAGCGAATGTATTTTAGTCATCACATGCACAGTTTCCTCACTATTCATAGTCGCAGCACATGGCAAATGCGTCCGCCGTCCCATTACAGGCTCTTTTTGAATACGCACGATGAGATTGTCGCTAGCTGATTGTCGGGTTAACTTTAACTCGTCCAGAAAAGGAACTCAAAATTTTCCATTGGATTAAAGTGGCAATGCTCACTTTGACCCTTTTGTGGGCACTGGGAATAATTCTTCCCAGCAAACTTTATACCCCCCCATTGCTCTGGGAAGGCTTCTTCCCACTATGCAACACCCACACTATCTACCAGTGACCAGTGGTGTAGCGAGGGGGGAGGGCTGGGGGTGCTTCACCTGCTTAACGGTTCTGCTTAACGGTTTCGCGAAATCCTGGCTATACGCCAATAACAGTGACCAAGACAACTCCTTTGAAAATTCCCCTGCGCCCGTGAAACCTGTAGAGAAGCCATTTTGGAGCAGATATGGAAGCACGCCACCTGTTCGGGCAACACTTTCAAGAAGCACAGAATGCATAACACGGAAACTTGAAACACAGCAGAATACATAATAAAACCTTTCTTGATTGAAAGTTTCCCTCATGTATTCCGTTGTGTTTCGAGCAATTTCATTCCTTGTAGACACATGTAAGGGATCTCTGAGTCTCTGTATTTTCGACTGCTTTGTGGAAGATTGTGTTTGTTTAGAACCAAAATGTCAGCAATGTTAGGAAACTGGTGACGAAAAGGGCATTGGAACGAATAATTTCCTACGCTTATATGATAATTTTTTGTATTAGAAGATAGTCCAGAAATAAAATAAGTTCTCAAAATAAAAGTATCTGTTGGTGAAAAAAGGAAATTTAATTATTTTCGTCATTTGCACACTAGAAAAAAATTTCCCACGAAAAGTTTAACTGAATTTATGAAAGTGCTTCAGATAGATACGCCTCACGTACCGTTAATAAGAAGTCAGCAGAACATGTTGCGGTCGAGTCACGTGCTTCCAATAGAGGGTGGACGATATGGGATATGAGGATCGATATCGCCGAACTTATTTCGAGCGATATCGTTAATCCTTTCCAATGGAAAACTATCGAAAAGGAAAATAGTACATCATTAACATTGGTGTCTTAGCCATCAGCCAACATTAACATTACGATGATACCTGTCACCTTTCTCCCTGTCGCCATGCAAGTCTTAGATGGGGACAGGGTCAAAAGGTGATGCAGGAAATCTTCATTTACTCTTTAGAACTAGCTGCTCAGGCCTGACACGCTGCAATATATTCTTTATTTTTAGATTTTCCTTCATCGAGCCTCCGTATCCCATATAGCATTAACCATACAACGTATGTCCGCATCCACACATCCTGAGAAGGTAGTCTGGATGTACGTCGGATGATTGATGCTGTCTGGGATGTAATAGGCTGGTTACGGGACTATTCAATGACGTCAGAGCATGGCGGTGTTTCCAAACATCCAGTCTGTTTCAACGTGGCTTGGCGGATATTAGCTTTTTTTCCCGTTAGAAGAAATTGTGCAGTTTTTGCAAGTTTGTCTGATTGTAAGCACCATTGTACGATCAGCAGCAGGTTCAGTCAATTCCCTCGTGATGCCCGGAGAAAGAAGAAATGGAGCCTCATCATGCCTTTCTTAGGCCTAGTTGTATTCTCTCTCTGCAGAAGATCTTGGAAAGTGCAGTCCATCCTGCCACGGTCCCAGATCAGATTCTCTGCAGTAACTCACATGTCTTCATAACAACTCTTACCCAAATTCTAATTATATGCATTCAGCATTCCACAGTCCCACAATGGGTCAAAATTGCTGAGATAATTCAACTTCATGAGAGCATGCAAAATCCCACCAACTGAAGGCCTATCTCAACCTCAGAGGGGTTATCTCAGCTCCTGTATAGCCTCATAATATGGACAATAAATCATTCATCCATCAGGTATGGGAAGTCTAAAGCTGGGTCTGGGCCTGACGTTATGCTTTCCAAAATTGAACTCTGCCTAGGCCTATTATAAATAGGCCTAGAATTAAGACTAATGTAAATCTCCATGCTCATCGGGTCAAAGTTGCGAGATTTTCCCTCACCTCGACTGAATAGGTAACATTCTTCTTACTGGCAAAGACGTCGCGTGCGTTATTCCCAATGTTCCTACATTATGGAATTTGTGAACGTCTTTTGATTCATGTGGGAGTTCACATCCCTTAAGCATCGAAATGTCATCAGCGAAAAAGTCAGCAATTGCTGAACAAGGCACAGGGCCCATAGGGCCAGAGAGTAAAGGTCATTGATGGAGAACACAGCCCTACTCAGGAGTGTTTGGAAACAGAACGTGCTCGCTGCTGTCCACGTGACGTTACCCACAGCCAGCCTATTGGGGGGAGCGGTAGATTGCTCATTTGTACTTTTTCCTTGGGAATTCATGCAGTTTTCACTTTTAGTTGTAAGACATGCTTAGGTACTGCAGTTATCAGGAAAGGGTTGCATGCGATTGAAAGACACATCGCGATGCAAATATTTCACCGATAGGAACGATATCGAGCAATATTGCTATATCACTGTGGTAAGGAGTACCTTCCATTTTAATCATTGCAAGTGAGATCTAGATACGTTTTTTTTAATCAACAGGAAGATTTATGATGAAGACATTGGGAAGATCGCTGGAGAACTACGAAAGCACAAAATAAAGAGGAATTCCCTCGGGGCAAGGTTGGGACTTTGCGAAGACGAACTCAACGCCATCAAGGGAAAGAGCAATAGTCCACAGAGAAGGATGTTTCTCCTCCTGAGGAAATGGAACTCCTCGTCGTCCGAGAATCAACCCGCCACGTTTGGAGCGCTTTATCAAGCCCTGGCAGACGAGGCCGAGAAGAAAGTGGCGGACCTCATAGTTGAGCATCTGTGCAAGAAAAAATGCAATGAAGTCAAGCAGGGCATACGATGATTCCTGAACATCCAGCTGGTATTTCTTCATCAGATGTCATTTGTGTTACCATTTCATTGTTTGAAATTCCCTGATTTTTTTTTTGCATTTCCTGGTAACCCTCATAACTCCCACTCCCTTTCGATATCATGGCATAAAATCTCTTGACTTTCACTCTTGCGTCTGAATTTTATTTTGCTTGCACATCAATGCCAAGTCCATTCACTTCCAGAAGAACGAGTTTCATGTCTCTCAAATGCATCAATAGGCTTTGGTAGCGCCTATTACCATTATTCAACCCCTTCCCGCCGCAAAATTGAACTTCCTTGTATCCCTTTCTGAGAGCATCAACAGGAACGAAATTGAGCATACTTTTTCCTCTCTCACCACAGAATCACTCAAGCAAATTTGAATCTCAATCTCCCTGGGGTTGTGGAGAACACAGAATCTCGTATTTGGCGGATGTGAATTTCATTCCGTTTCTTTTCCCTCCCCCTCCCCCTGGGTAGCCACTTCTAGGATGCTTTCGGAGGAATGAGACCAACCATAAGAAAGGTATTGACGCGTGGGTGATGAAAATTGGCTTTCTTTCTGTTTGCGATACTCCATTTCGCCATGAAAAATGAAAGAAGCTGTTCAATTAGGCTTAGAGGTCTTGCTCCTGTACCGTCCCCCAGTGTTCCCAGATACCGTACCGAAATTATGCCAGATTCAACCTTCGTATTGGCGTCTGGATCGTGCTTTTTTTATGCACGAGACATTTTTGTGCTGAGTTCATGAGATGCCTTGAGAATGAAGCTGTGGCTAGTTATTGATCAATGTGGTGTGATATACAGATATGTTATCAGGACATCCCTGAATTAACTGTAAGGCGCGTACCATGGATTCCATGTTCTTGAAGGCATACTCTTCTCAGACCAATTCGAGATGGTTCGAGGAACTCCAGATAACTTTCCACGTGACGCTGAAAAGGTTAATTAGGTATGAAACAGGGCGCCAATCGGTGTAACGTTAGACGTCCTCAACCAGATCTCTCAAAGACCACGATTCACTCTCAAAGGCTCAATTAGCACAAGTCGGGAATTGAGTTTAATTTGAAAAGAAAAAGGTTGGTCTTGGCGTGACCTGAAGGCAGTCTGTTGGTTAGGACTAGGCCTAACGTTAGTGAGTCCCGTAGAAGGGCGGGGCGGAGGAGGTTGAAGAAAGGGAAAGTAATTGAAATTTGGTTTTCACATAACTTCATATCCTGGTTAATGATAACTGAGGAGGAAAGAGAGCTGATAATTATCGTGATTTCGCCTGTCCAGATGAGTGACCTGTAAGGGATGTCAAATGGGGATATTTCTACTGTCATCTAATATACAGATTGGGCCAAAAAAGCTATCATTTTTGGTAAATTGTCAGTCTGATTTTAGGTCGCCAAATTTTATTAAATTTTGTACACATATAGGGTGACCCAATTAGGGTTTGTGTGCCAAGTTACAAATGAATATTTAAAAACCTGTGAGATTGACATTTAATTTCCATTTCATCACCAAGAAAGCAAGTGTTCATTTTTTCTTTCAGCTTAAAGTCTTTCGCAACTGACAAAAACAACCAAGCAGAACAAGAACAGATGCACAAATGCTAAACAAGAAAACCCACAATTCGGTTTAGGGACGTTCATTTCAGCTGAAAAGGTGCTCAATTTGCCCCCCATTCTGTTGAATCCTAGCCTCTAGTCCGGGACACGACAGATCAATGGTTTGGTCACTGGTTTGGCATCAATGGTTTGGAACAGCCTCAAAGGTTTACCTTTGCGGCCGTGCCTCCCATCCTTCCTTTTCTTGCATCATGCTGGGATGGAAGTTCGTGAATTCGGACCTACCTTTCATCCCAGCCTCAGGTTCATATCGATATTTTTGATCGCACATTTTGTCAGTGGTCATCAGAAAATAATTACAGCTCTTACTATCTTGGAGAATGAAAATTGAAATTTGGTATGCATTTTCCAATTGTGTCAATCTATAAGTCAAGAAATTTTAATTAAAATTGGCAACCTACAAAGAGATTGATGACTCGCCAAAAACGACAGTTTTTGTTGTTTTCTTTTCCCACCCTGTATGTACACGTTCGTGACTGAATGCCGCAAATTCTAACATGTTAAAGAGAGGTTAGAAATCTGAAACTAATTAGACACAAGTACTTATCAGGATGCAAAGTTCAGAAAACATCCGACTTTGGAGGCACAAACCCTGGGGGCACCCCATTTTGTGGGTGATTAAAAAAAAAAGATTTGCTTCAGTCAAATGGAGAGACATGGAAAGCTGAAACTACGTGAAAGCTGAAACGTGCCTACTAAGAGACTGAGTTCAGGAAAATGTCAAGTTTCAGGTGCATGCCCAAGGAGTATATTTTGGGGGGATGATATTTTTAAATAGTTTTTTTTTGTCATAGGAAATAGGCAGAAATTTAAAGGTGAAACTTGACAGATATTGACAAGTACTTATAGGTATGTTAAGTTCAGAAAAATTCCGAATTTGGAGGTAAATGCCCTAGGGGTATAAATTTTAGGGGGTATATATTTTCAAATAAATTTCTTGCTTCAGTCAGATGGGTAAGCACAGCAAGCTTAAACTATGCGTTAATGTGACTACTAATACAAGGAGTTCCGGAAAAATGTTAACTTTCGATACATCACCTGGGGGTATACATTTTTTGGGGTGACGTTTACAATTAAAATTTTTGCCCTACCAAATTGGGTGAAGATAGAAAGGAGAAACTTGGCACATGCCTAACTGAGGAGATGCTGAATTTACACAAAATTCAACTTTTGTGATACGTATCTTCAGCGTACAGCTTTTGGCTGGATCGGCTTTTCTATAGATACTTTTGCACCAGCGAAAAGCGCAAACGGATAAGGCTGAAACTTAGTGGGCACGCAGTTCTCTCCCTCTCTTTACATTTCAGTAATAAAAAAATATTAATTTTTAAGTGAAACCCCTGTGAGCACATTTTACGCAAATGCGTATTTTCCCTAATCTTTGCTCCTATGAAAGAGAGAACTGACGAAAGTTGAAACTTGGAGCAGAAGTATCAGTTCTATTGCTGATTGCCGATCCTACATTTCACATTTGTCCCCTCAGGGCAATTAGGAAGGAATTGAAAGTCAGAAATAATCGAAGTAATTACTTCGACGAAAATATCGGTTCGTCCTCTCATGGCACATATTTCGACGGGCACATACTTTAAATATATTTTTGCCACATCGAAAATAAATTAATGAATGGCTATCCTGGACAATAGAGCACCGAAGCTGCGACCTTAGCGAGTATCTCTATACTCAATCTGATATGGCATGCGTGCAAGACCAATTACGAATTCCGCACCATCCAAGGCGAATTCACATGCAAATGAAGAAACAACGAAGCTGAAGGATCAGTGAAAGAATGTTTAAAGGAACAGTTAGACTTTCATTGTATACCATTGAATTAATGGAGGACCATATTAAGACAATTCAAAACTGAATATAGCAAACAAAGGGACTGCTTGCATTCTTTAGAAAATTTTCATATTTTTTTATACTTTAGCCCAATCTTCGAGAAGAATCCAGTCCAATTATCTGCTATCTTACGGCGCTTCCGATGGACGAGGTGGGTTCTGAACCTGGAATGCAATTCCAGTCGGCCGAGTACAGTCGAGAATCACCAACATTATCCAGAAAGTTCATTTACACGGACGCCATCGCTCTGGCCACCCTTTCTTGCGGAAACGCTAGAAACAACAGAACAAACCCTCAAATAGGACCTTCGGACTCTCGAGAGATATTTCCGCACCTGGCGCCGCACACCTAACGCATCGAAAACGTCTGTCTCCGCCTTCCACCTTCACAACTCCAGCGCTCAGCGTGAAATTTTCTGGAAGTCCGCTGGCGCATGACAATAACCCGCGGTATCTCGTGGTCAGCCTGGATAGGATATTCAGCTACCGCCAACACTTCGGAAGCATTGAAAAGAAGACAGGTTCGAGGGTAAATATCAGCCAGAAATTCGCCGGGACGTCATGGGGAAGCGACGTTCGAACCATCCGTACATCGACCATTGCTCTTGTGTTTTCGACAGCGGTATATTGCACACCCGTATCGAGCAAAAGGGCAAACACCCGGCGAGTCGACTCACAAATCAAAGTCGCTATGAGATTCGTAAGTGGAGCCCTGAAGTTCACTCCGGTCTCCTGGCTACTTTTGTTGTCAGACATCGCTCCTCCCAGAGTCAGAAGAGTCAGAAGGCCGTACTACGAGAGTACGTAAAAGTCGTGATCTCGACCTTTCGCTACAGTAGGACATATCCCAACCCCAATCACGTCGCCTCAACTCCAGAAATCCCTTTTGGATCCACGCCTCCGCCGTGTCAAGTGGAGTGGACGCCGACTGACGATGGCGAACACTGATCTGCAGCAACCTTGCCAAACAAAACCCTATTCGAAGATCCCACCGTAGAGCTCCCAGACTACTATCAAAAGAGGCGACACTGGACTGTCCACAACCATACTCGGACAACGCACGGCAGATGCGAACACTTATTACATAAATGGGAAATCAGGGACTCACCTAACTGCGAATGCGACGAAGTACAGACCGCATCGCCGACCATTGTCCGATTTACGCATTTCCTGCTGGAAGGACTCAAGCAATCCACCAAGCAACCTCAGATGCTATCAATTAACTGTCAAACCTCATCATACTGCACTAATTATATATATATATATATATATATATTTAATCCTTCCACGGCCCCTGCCGGTATTGGAGATATGAGGGGGGATGAACCACATCCCAGACCTCANTTCGTGACTGAATGACTGCCGCAAATTCTAACATGTTAAAGAGAGGTTAGAAATCTGAAACTAATTAGACACAAGTACTTATCAGGATGCAAAGTTCAGAAAACATCCGACTTTGGAGGCACAAACCCTGGGGGCACCCCATTTTGTGGGTGATTAAAAAAAAAGATTTGCTTCAGTCAAATGGAGAGACATGGAAA